GGCTTTGTGATATGTGGATTCATCTCACAGAGTTAAACCCGTGTTTCTGTTCAGCAGGTTGGAAACACTTCTGTGGTAGAATCTGCAAAAGAATATTTGGGACTTCTTTGAGGCCCATGGTGGAAAAGCACATATTTCCTGATAACAGCTAGAAGGAAGCTAGCTGAGAAACTGCTTTGTGTGTGGATTCCTTGCACAGAGGTACAACTGTATTTGGACTCAGCGGATTGGAAGCACTCTTTTAGTAGAATCTGTGAAAATCATGTGGGCTGCAATTGAGGCCTAGGGTGAAAAACAGATTATCCCCAGATAAAAACCAAAAAGAGCCTATGTGTGAAACGTTTTTGTAGTGTGGGGATTCCTCTCACAAAGTGAAAGCATTCTTTTGATACGTCGGTTTGGAAATATTCTTCTTAATGGAATTGGCGAAGGGACTTTGGGAGCCCCTTGAAACCTGTGGAGAAAAACCGATACTCCCCAGAGAAAAACCGGAAATAAACTATCATCGGGACTGATTAGTGATCTGTGGATACATGTTACAGAGTTAAACTTTTCTTTGGATTCAAAATGTTGCAAACACTGTGTTTGCAGAATCTCTGAAGAAAGGACATTGCAAAGACCATTGAGGCCCAAGGGGAGGTCTCTCACTCTCTCTCTCCCTCTCTCTCTCTCTCTCTCTCTCTCTCTCTCTCTCTCTCTCTCTCTGTCTGTTTCTCACTGTGTCTCTCTGTCCGTCTCAAAAAATAAGAAAGGATGGATACATGCATACATACATACATGAAGCAGTCCCCAAAGCCTGTCTCTGCATCGACCGCGACAGAGTCAGAAGACAACCCGGCGTGTGGATGTTCGGAGAGGCATCTCGGAGGAGAAACAGCAAAGAAAGCAAGGACTCGGTGGCAGGCCGTGAGGACACAGGGAGACACAGATTCGTAGGCTCTTCTGAATCAGACAGAGACGGAGGAGGGAGGAGGGAGGAGGCAGGGAGGAGGAGGGAATGGAGAGAAGAGACAGATGGTGAAAGGAAGGGAGGAGGAAGGGAGCAGGGAGAGGGAGGAAGGAAAAAGGGAGGAGAAAAGGGAGACAACGTGGAAAATGAAGATGATGAAACGTCACTTTTCAAAGGTTACATTTTTACAGGAGAGATGGAAAGGAAGAAACCTGAAACAGAGAGAAAGGAGCTGAGGAAAGAAGGGAAAAAGAAACAGAGAAACAGAAAAGAAAAGGACAGAAAACGGAATAAAAGAAATAAAGAAAGCACACGGAAGAGAAAGCGAACAAAGAGAGAAAGGAGGGAGGCAGGAGGGAGGGAGGGAGGAAAACATAGAGAAGGAGACAGAAAGAAAAAGAGGAAGAAAAACACAAAGGAGAAAGAAAGAAAGACAAATAGCAGCATAAATATTTGCATTTTTAAGCTAAATATGAGATATAAAATACATCAAAACAGATGAAAATATTTGTCTTGATCGAGACCATCCCGGCTAACATGGTGAAACCCCGTCTCTACTGAAAATACAAAAAACAAACTAGCCGGGCGGGGTGGCGGAGTGCCTGTAGTCCCAGCTACTTGGGAGGCTGAGGCAGGAGAACATGGCGTGAAGCGGGAGGCGGAGCTTGCAGTGAGTTGAGATCCGGCCACTGCACTTCAGCCTGAGCGACAGAGAGCGGGAGCTCCGTCTCAAAAAAAAAAAAAAAAAAAAAAAAGAGAATAAATACAAATAAATAAATACATACATACATAAAAAAGAAAAGAAAGAAAAGAAAAATGTTGTACTTATACATGAATGAATAGATGAAAATAAATACATAAAAATAAAATAACATGAGCAAACAGGCCAGGCACGGTGGCCAGCCTGTGATCCCAGCACTTTCAGAGGCTGGGAGAGAGAGAGAGAGAAAATGAAGGAAAGAAAGGAAGAAAGAAAGAGAAGAAAGAAAGGAAGGAAGGAAGGAAGGAAGGAAGGAAGGGAAGGAAGAAGGAAGGAAGACAGACAAAAGAAAGAGAGAGAGAAAGAAAGAAAAAGAAAGAGAGAAAGAAGGAAGAAAGAGAAAGAAAGAAGAAGAAAAGAGAGAGAGGGAGAAAAACAGAAAAGAAAAGGCGAGAAGAAAAAGAAAAAAAGAAGACAGAGGAAAGACAGACAGGAAGAAAGAAGACAAGCAAAGAAAGCAAGAAAAACAAGACAGCAAGAAAGCATGACAGAAAGATGAAAGAGACAGAAGAAAAAGCAAGAGAAAGCAACAAAGAAAGGGGGGAGTGGGAGGCGAATCTCTCTGCTTTCACTACATGCGGGGAGAATCAGGAAAGCCCCCACTAAACAACAAGGCCGGAAGTGGAGCTGCCATCTGTGAAATCCGAGAGCAGAAAGAGAAGTCCGCGGGTTAAAAGGAGCAAGAAGAAAGACAGGGAAACAACTGCTCAAAGAGAAGAACAATCTGGCCCAGCCAGGGTGTTCTGTCTCCTGAAGTTGTCTGGGCACGGGAGGGAGTGGGACGGAGGGGAGGAGGAGCCTCCGAGGCTCGTGTCAAACAATAAACGAGAATAACATAAAAGGAAGTTAAAAAAAAATTCGCATCGTGTTAGCATCACTGGCCTTCTCCCGAAAGGCGAGAGCATATGTTATGTCACTGTGGGACTATTTGTCTTTTTCTTTTCCTTTTTTCTTCCCTCTCTTCGGAAACTCACTTTTAATTATTTCCTTTTCCTTTTCCTTTTCAGTTTATTTTATTTTACTTTTTCATTTTATTACGTTTATGTATTAATTTATTAGTAGTAGTAGTATTTTTGGAGAGGTTGTCTCGCTCTCTCGCCCAGGCTGGTGTACAGCGGCGCGATCTCGGCTCACTGCAACCTCCGCCTCCCAGGTTCAAGCGATTCTTCTCCTGCCTCAGCCTCGGCCTCCCGAGTAGCTGAGTTACAGGCCCAGCATGCAGCCATGCCCGGCTAATTTTTGGTCTTTTGACTGGAGACGGACGAGGGGTTTCACACCATACTGGCCCTGCTGATCCCAGCCACCTCGTGATCAGCGATCCACCGCCCCAGCGTCCCAAAGCGCTAGGATGACAGGCTTGAGCCACCGCGCCGGGCAGGATTATTCATTTATTTTCTTCCTAATTTTTAATTGTATGTATGTATGTATATGTATGCATGTATCCATCCCCTTAATTTGTTATTCTTAACAATACAGAGAATGACATTAAGATTTTGATATTTCGATTAAACTTTGAGATCACAGAAACAGGCTTAAGGAACAAAGATCACTGAACTGGGAACCAAGATTCCTTCTAGTCCCGCAGCCCTGACACCATTTTACCATGCTTCAGTCTCCTTACCCATGGCATGGGAATAGGACCTGTTTTAGCCCAACTTCTCTACCTCTTTCCCCCTTATTCCCACATTTTGGGATCTTGTCTTTCCCATCCTCCTGTTTTATAGACTAGAGTACAAGTACTCCAAGCTGGTGATGAATGCTACCCTCAAGGACTGTGACCTGCCAGCAGCTGACAGCTGTGCCATCATGGAAGGCGAGGATGTGGAAGACGACCTCATATTTACCAGCAAGAAGTCACTCTTTGGGAAGATCAAATCATTTACCTCCAAGGTAGGGGGCCTGGCCAGTGCACTGAGGTCAGCCTGGAGGGCTGGAGGAGACACTGCTCCTCAGACACTGAATGGTCCTGTACCGTTCAGGGATGGGCGCCCTGCTCCCCACGCCCCATACAATTCCATTTCCCCACTCTGAAAATCCTGCCTTCTGCCTTCTGTATTTCTACACCAATACTCTTTCCCCCCGGAGCCCAAGGCTGCTCTTGATCAGGCTCCTTCTCTCTCATCATCTCAACGTGTACTCCAGTTAGTGAGCTGCTTGGGCCTTTTCACTTCCAGAAGGAGTACTGAACCATCCATGTTGTAAGAATCATCCCCCACCCCTTTTTAAATTTTCACTGAAAGGGGGAAAAGATGATCTCCGGGATCAACTTCTGATAGAAGTCAGGCTCTCCTTTGACCAGTGGGAGGCGCTGTCCTCCAGGTGTCTGGGTCCAGTCCTTTGAGAGCTGAATCATAGTTCAGTCTCAGCTGTTCCCCACTGAGCAATTCTGAGCTGGGAGGGCTGGGTGAGTTTGTGTGGGTGGGTGAGTGAGTATAAAGCTCATAAATGCAATACAGACAATACTGTCACTGGGCGTGGGGCCAGCTGAGAGCATTCAAGCACCTCCTCCAGGACTATAGCCCTCTGCAGCCCCACTCTGCCAGTGCCCATATCTGACTACTGCTCTGAACCAGTTCATCCCAATAGGAGTGGGTGGGGAGGGTAGAAAGAGGAAGGAATGTATTGGGAGGTGGTGAAGAGGAGGACCGTGCTTGGGTGTTCAGATTGCTGAGTCTTGTTTCCTTTGTGCTGACCTGCTAGGGAGACTCCCTTGGCCTCCTTAGACTGCGATTTTTTTTTTAAACCAATGGGAGAACAGTTCACCCTGGGACTCTTGAGTCTATCTGGTACTTCTAGAATTCAGCAAAGGTGCAAAGCAGGGGAGTTTTAAGATTTTTGGCCTTGTAATCCCAGCACTTTGGGAGGCCCAGGCTGGAGGATCTCTTGAGGCTGGGAGTTCAAGATCAGCCTAGGCAACATAGCAAGACCCCATCGCTACAAAAAATAAAAAACAATTAGCTGGGTGTGGTGGAGCATGCCTGTAGTCTCAGTTACTTGGGAGGCTGAGGGGGGAGGATCACTTGAGCCCAGGAGTTGGAGGCTGCAGTGAGCTATGATTGTGCCACTGCATTCCAGCCTGGGCAACAGAGCAAGAGTCTGTCTCTAAAAAAACATGTTTTTATGTATGTATGTATGTATTTATTTATTTATTGAGATGGAGTCTTGCTCTGTTTCCCAGGCTGGAGTGCAGTTGCGTGATCTCAGCTCACTGCAACCTCCACCTCCCGGGTTCAAGCATTTCTCCTGCCTTAGCCTCCCTAGATGCTAGGACTACAGGTGCATGCCACCACACCTGGCTAATTTTTTTTTGTATTTTTAGTAGAGAGAGGATTTCCGCATGTCAGCCAGGCTGGTCTTGAATTCCTGACCTCAGGTGATCTGCCTGCTTCGGCCTCCCAAAGTGCTGGAATTACAGGCGTGAGCCACTGTGTCTGGCCAAAAACATTTTTTTGAAAGAAAAAAATATTTTCTTTGTTTTTTTTGAGATGGAGTTTCGCTCTTGTCGCCCAGGTTGGAGTACAGTGGTATGATCTTGGCTTACTGCAACCTCTGCCTCCTGGGTTTAAGTGATTCTCCTTCCTCAGCCTCCTGAGTAGCTGGGAGTACAGGTGCCTGCCACCATGCCTGGCTAATTTTTGTATTTTCAGTAGAGATGGGGTCTCACCATGTTGGCCAGGCTGGTCTCGAACTCCTAACCTCAGGTGATCCGCCTGCCGTGGCCTCCCAAGTGCTGGGATTACAGGCATGAGCCACCACACCCGGCCTAAAAGAAAAAGATTTTTATTGTTCTCCAACTGACACTGAAGGGAGCAAGCAGAATAGAGGGTATCTAATTTCTGTATTTCCACAAAGCCACTGAAACAGTAATTTCATAAGGGTTCCTTCTGTCACCTATTTTCCATTTCTCTCCTTTGTCCCCAAACTTGCCCCTGTGCAGCAGCCAGCTCCTGTCACCATCTCTCTTTCAGAGGACTCCTGATGGATTTGACTCAGTGCCGCTGAAGACATCCTCAGGAGGCCCAGACATGGACCTGTGAGAGGCACTGCCTGCCTCACCTGCCTCCTCACCTTGCATAGCACCTTTGCAAGCCTGCGGCGATTTGGGTGCCAGCATCCTGCAACACCCACTGCTGGAAATCTCTTCATTGTGGCCTTATCAGATGTTTGAATTTCAGATCTTTTTTTTATAGAGTACCCAAACCCTCCTTTCTGCTTGCCTCAAACCTGCCAAATATACCCACACTTTGTTTGTAAATTATGTCCTTGCTTGTATCTTGTTTCCCAAAATGGCCCATCCGCCAGAGCCATAGCTTTGTCTGCTCATAATTCTTACAGCTCTGGAATGAAGATATTTCTCTCTTCTTAAGTATAGAAACTATCTCCTCTGTCCTCTAACTTAAGTGCAGAAACAGCTGGGAGCTTTCCTCGCATGCCCTCAGCTCATGATCTCTTTAGGAGAGAGGCTGGGTGAGGAGGGTGTCGGGGTTCCCTGGTGGACAATCTTCATAGCAGCCTGGATCCATTTCCCGTGGATAACCAGCTCAAAGGGAGTGAAATGGGTAGTCTGAGGGCAAGGTGAATAAGGCCTGGGTAAGAAAAGGCTTGAAAAGCACAAAGAGAGGCAACAAGGAATGGTTTTGTTTTTGAGACAGGGTCTCGCTCTGTCACCTAGGCTGCAACAGTGGCGTAATCACTGTTCACTGCAGCCTCAATCTCTTGGGCTCAAGCTATCCTCCCACCTCAACCTCCCAAGTAGCTAGGACTACAAGTGTGCACCTCCAGTCTCACTAATTTTTGTATTTTTTTTGTAGAGACCAGGTTTCACCACATTGCTCAGGTTGGTCTCCAACTCCTGGGCTCAAGTGATCTGTCCGCATCAGCCTCTCAAAGTACTGGGATTACAGGCATAAGCCACTGCACTCAGCCTTTTATTTGTTTTTTAAACCAGGTAACTCATTCCCTTCTCTTAAGTAAATGATAGATATTCTCACTGAAGCCAAAGGAAAAAGTTCATGAAGAAAATGCCCAAAGCCCTGTGGATATATCTCCCTATTTTTTTTAAACCTCCCACTATCACTCTATGACACTGAAAAGAACCAGGTAAGCCCCAAACCCAGATGTTCCAGCCTTATCCTCAATTGGGTTTACCCACAGAGATGGCAAACCCCTGTCAGTGAGGAAAATTCCCAATCCTTGAGTGCCCCCATCCTAGAAGTTTGGGCCATATTATGGAACAGGGGTCTCTTATTTGAAAAGAGCACGGGGAGGCCAAGATTTTAATGGGGCACTTTAGGGGATCCAGCCCACAATGGCATGGGCCTGCGGTGGCCGTGATATCTGCTTCTAAGCTTACCATCTGCTCAGGCACAGAATCAATGTCTAGACTGGCCACAAAAGAAACTGAATCCCAGGCCCATACCCCAGCAGCAGAATCAAACCAGTCTTCAAGGAAGGAAGGCTAGGAGAGTTTAACAAGATGTTCACCGGGCCCAGCATGGTGGCTCATACCTGTAATCCCAAAGCAAGATGGTCGCTTGAGCTCAGGAGTTCAAGACCAGCCTGGGCAACATAGTGAGACCCTATCTCTAAAAAATTAAAAAATAAACAAGGTGTTCACCAAGCTGGGATACTTCTCACTTTTAAGCCCCTATCTTTCTCTCTCTCTTTTTTTTTCATTCTCAATTGCCTTGTGTGATAAAAAACTAAAGAGACTTCTGGTCCAATTTCTGGCAACATCCCTTCTGAAAGGTGAGTAGAGTGGGTGTCTTCTATGCCTGTTTTCCCCAATTTTACACCAACTATTATCAATGAACTTTTAAGTACCTAGAACGGGTAAAACCAGAGCAAGACTTTAAATTACCTTCTTCTTGGGGCCCGGCGCAGTGGCTCACGCCTGTAATCCCAGCATTTTGGGAGGCCGAGGAGGGCGGATCATGAGGTCAGGAGATTGAGACCATCCTGACTAACATGGTAAAACCTCGTCTCTACTAAAAATACATAAATATTAGCCGGGCGTGGTGGCAGGCACCTGTAGTCCCAGCTACTCGGGAGGCTGAGGCAGGAGAATGGCGTGAACCCGGGAGGCGGAGCTTGCCATGAGCCAAGATTGTACCCCTGCACTCCAGCCTGGGTGACAGAGCGAGATTCTGTCTCAAAAAATAAATGAATAAAATAAAATAAAATAAAATTACCTTCTTTCTTCTACTGGCAATTCTGCCTGCATCACTATCAGGCTAGGGTGACCTTCCCTTGGTCAAGCCCCAGTTGCCCATGATTTGTGCCTGTGTCCTTTCTCCAGGAACCATTTGGTGACAGATGGTAGATACAGAAAGGGGATGGCATTTGCAAGTGACTGGTCTGCCACAAAATGCTCATCTGATTAGCCACTGCTGCCCTGGTGATGGCTTTGTAAGAGTCAATGAGAACTAGAGCCATGCTGTGGTCCCTGGCCCTCAACAGTGTTGTTGATGGCAGGGAGTCCCTCTGGTTTAATAAATCCAGTTTTTCTTTGGGTAGCCACATTCTCCCTCCTTTTGTAGGAGTCAAGCTCTCAGAACCTGTGTCCATGTTGGAACTTCCCCCAGTGTGGATGCAGATATGCAACTCCTGAGTTCCGGCCTAAAATCTTCTGTAGCCTCAGCAATACCCGGGCACCTGCCATCTCACTGAATAGCTTTCTTTTGTGACAAAGGCCACAGACAGCCCTTAGACTATTCTGGAAACAGTAGGAAAAAGTACATATGTTTTTGACTTCTTTATTCTGACTCCACTGATTTTAGCCATAATACTTTAAGGAGCTACTTTTTACTACCCCTTACCGTGCTGACTTCTGCAGGTCTGCCGTGTGACCTGTCAGGAACTCCTGAGTTACGCTACCGGGGTCACCTGTTGCTCCCCTAGCAAGTTAGATGTGTCATATATTTTTAACAGCTTTGTTGAGATATAATTCACATATTATACAATTCACCTTCAAAACAAACCATTCAGTGGCTTTTGGCCTACTCACAGAGTTGTGCACCCATTTGAAAGCGAACACATGTTCAATTTTCTTTTGTTTTTTTTTTTGGTTTTTTTTTTTTGAGACAGAGTCTTGCTTTGTCGCCCAGGCTGGCATGCAGTGCCATGATCTTGGCTCACTGCAGCCTCCCGGCCCTGGGTTCAAGTGATCCTTCTGCTTCAGCCTCCCCAGTAGCTGGGATTACAAGCATGCGCCACCACGCTTAGCTAATTTTTGTGTTTTTAGTAGAGATAGGGTTTCACCATGTTGGCCAGGCTGGTCTCAAACTCCTGGGCTCGAGTGATCTACCCACCTCGGCCTCCCAAAGTGCTGGGATTACAGGTGTGAGCCACCGTGCCCAGCCTACATGTTCAATTTTCTGTGAACAAAGTCTTTAGTCCTTGACCCAGGGCTGTAGTGGTCTGTCCAAGCTGTTGTTGGTAGAGGGAGTGTGATAAAATGTTTAAATCTCATTTGGTTACCTTGAGTCCTGGAACACACAGTAACTCTCATCCTGTAGTCATCACCTGTACGTGGCTGGGAATACAAATGAAGATTGTGGTGTATTCAAGCAGCAGGGTTTTTGTTTTTGTTTTTAATGCCAACAAAACTTCTTTTTGTCTGACTACATTAAAGATAAGACTGACTATATTTATATAACAGAAACTTTGTAATAGATTTTTTCAGCTTTGTGAAATAGAATTTTTGTCTCTCAGGACTGATTGGATTTCCTTTTTACTTTGTATTCCAAGCATTAATGGTTTGTTAGAAGATGGGTATTGCATGTCACTTTTTTTGTTTTTGTAAAATAAAAACATACCTTACAAGTTGTTTTTTTTGAACATGGGTTGGGTGGCTGGAGGAGTGAGTGGGAAATGTAAATGTCCTGGAAGCTTAAACTAAAGAGGAGAAGGATTCCACATTCGCAGAGAGGCAGAGAAAAGAGCACAGACTTTAGAACAAGATGGACATAGGCTAGAAACCTCCCACTGCTTGTTGAGGAATCAGTCAGTAACCAAAGCCTCAGTTTCCACAATAATAAAATGCATCTAATGATACCCAACACCCCAAGACTGAATGAACTCAAAAGAGGTAACTCATAAACCATCTCACTCTGTTGCCCAGGCTGGGCAAACTTGGCGAACTTGGCTCACGGCAAGCTCCGCCTCCCAGGTTCACGCCATTCTCCTGCCTCAGCCTCCCAAGTAGCTGGGACTACAGATACCCGCCATCGAGCCCAACTAATTTTTTTTTGTATTTTTTAGTAGAGACAGGGTTTCACCGTGTTAGCCAGGATGGTCTTGATCTCCTGACCTCGTGATCCGCCTGCCTCGGCCTCCCAGAGTGTTTACAGGCATGAGCCACTGCGCCCGGCCTGCTTAGGTTTCTTTCGGGGAGCATGAGGCCAGCCACATAACAATAAATCCACAAGTAGAAGCAGGTAGATTATTACAGACTAGACGTGGAGAAAATCCTAAATGATATCAAGGGCCTACCATTTCCTGGGGTCACTAGATTTTTGCAATCTCTGCTCACTGCAGCTTCAGCCTCCTGGGCTCGAGTGATCCTCCCACCTCAGCCTCCTGAGTAGCTACAGGCATGCGCCACCACACCCGGCTAATTTTTGTATTTTTTGGAGAGATGGAGTTTCACCATGTTGCTGGTCTCAAACTCCTGGGTTCTAGAGATCTGCCCACCTTGGCCTCCAAAGTTCTGGGATTGCAGGTGTGAGCCAGCGTGCCTGGAGGGACTTTCTGCTTCAGAACTTCATTCTAGTTGAGGGCACTTGATCCCCAAAAATAATTCTCTCAGCTATTAATAGATGAGTTGGGAACGTCACACTTTTCAGACTGAATGCACTAAGTGCCAGATGTTCTTCGTCAGGGTCCTTAGGTAATTTCTAGCCTTCAAACAGGCCTCTCCCTGCCAGTGCTTCCCACGCCAGTATCAACCCCCTGCTCTGTAGCCAGAGCCCTTTTTCTTTTCTTCATGAAAACTTTTCTGGTAAAAGGCAGAAAACCTGCTAACCAAATTCTAAAAGAGGGTGTGGCAGCTCACGCCTATAATCCCAGCACTTTGGGAGGGCCAGGCTGGAGGATCGCCTGAGGCCAGGAGGTTGAGATTATAGTGAGCTGTGATTGTGGATTGCACCACTGCCCTCCAGCCCGGGTGACAGAGGCAGACTCTGTCTGTTTAAAAAAAAAAAAAAAAAAAAAAAAATTCTAAAAGAGCTGGAACACTCAGAGCTGTTTTTCCAATACATCTGATGGCACTCAAATGTGTCATCTCTGATGGCTCCTTATTGCTGCCAGGCAGGAGCAATTGGCAGCAGCCCCCACCTACACTCCAAGGTGGGTTGTTTATGACCCACATCTACTTTGACTGGGTGGTACCTGGGTTGTACTGGTGGTTAAATATTTTGAACATCACCCCTGCTTATAACATAAAAGTCCAAACTCTAAGAAGGAAAGTAGAAAAGAAAATGCATTCATTTGGCATCTCTGTGTCAAGCCTGGACTTCATGCTTTCATGGCATTGCCTTTTTTCATTTTCAGAACAGTCCTGGAGGCAGCTACTATCCCCATGACAATAGAGGAAGAAACTGTGTCTCCAACAGATTCAGTTATGTGGCCTACAAGATCCCTAACAGCCCACCCTGCTCACCCTCCCAACATTGTTTCTATTCTAACCACACAAGTTTTTGATGGTCTCTGAGTCAAAGCACTTTCATGCCTCCAGCACTAGAATGTGCTCTCCTCTCTGCCCCTCTGCTTCCTTTTTCACCTCACAGATCCCACTCCGCCTTCCACGTCATCCCACTGTGGGAAATAACGGTGAAAACAATCCCATGGGAGTACTGCTATGAGTCTTCATGAATTCAACCATATACCGTGCAATGCAACAGAAAATCAAGCTTGAAACTGCGGGGCAGGGAGAGGGGTATGGAATGATGTGGAAATGATTTTAAGAATTTCTCAATCACTGACAAAGAAGTAAAATACATTATCAGGTGACCAGGTAAGGACATACTTATGACTTGGTCTCAATCTTAAGGAAGACAATTAACTGGGAAGCACAGAGCAACACTGAGTATTAAGAGAGAGAGAAATTGATTTAGGGTTGCAATACAAAACTTTATGAATAATTTAAGAGCTATTCAAGGAGAATTTGGAATATAAACTAATTTTGTCTCAGTGCCAAAGTTAACAATCCCACATAAAATGCAATTCCCTATAGAGTAGTTCAGCCTTAACAGTACTTTCACTTTCCATAGTTTCAGTTACCCAAAGTCAACTTAAGTAAAAAAATATTAAATGAAAATTCCAAAAATAAACAATTCATAAGTTTTAAATTGTATGCCATTATGAGTAGCACAATGACATCTCGTGCCATCTCACTCCTTCCCACCTGGGACGTGAACCATCCCTTTGTCCAGAGTATCCACGCTGTCTGCACTAGCCACCCATTACTCACTTAGCAGCCATCTCAGTTCCCAGATCAAAAAATCACAGCATATGTAGGAATCTGTGCTCTCCGTGGTTTCAGGCATCCACTGGGGACTACTGTATAATACGGTGTGGTGGGAGAATTGATTTCGCACCCCAATTCTATCAGATGGAGAGGCTGGATCAAAGTTCCCCCAGGTCCTGGCAGCTTTCCCGGACTCACGCTATTTTTAAATGATTCCTGCTTAGTTGCTGAAGGATAGCAACATGGACCTCCTTTGTTACTGTGTCTCTCTGATAGAAGGGAAGGGGTAAGCCAGAACTGGAGGCTGGGTGGTCAATTCCTCCTGTAACAGTATCATCAATACTACTGTACTGTGGGAAACCGGAAGGATGCCTAACCAATTTGCAGGAAGGGGTAAATATGACGTCAGAGAAGGCTTCCGGGAGAAAGAAGGAATTAGCCAGGTAGAAGGAACAGAGAAGGGAAAGGGAGTTCCAGGTAGAAGGAACTTGTGCAACCAAAGGCTCAGAGGGAAGGAGGGGAGCCACAAGAAGGTTGGAATGGGGACTACGAGGGGGAAAGGTTAAGAGATAAAGAGATAAGAGATAAAGAGTGGCTCATGACTGTAATCCCAGCACTTTAAGAGGCCAAAGTGGGCAGATTGCTTGACCCCAAGAGTTCGAGCAACATGTTGCTTGGGCAACATGGCAAAGCCCCGTATCTACCAAAACAAAAACAAATACAAAAATTAGTTGGGTGCGGTGGCACACATCTGTAGTCTCAGCTACTCATGAGGCTGAGGTGGGAGGATCCCCTGAAGCTGGACATGTCGAGGCTGCAGTGAGCCATGGTTGTACCACTGTTTTCCAGCCTGGGCAACAGAGTGAAACTGTGTCTCTCACACACACACACACACACACATACACACACACACATATAAAGAGGGAACATGTTAGAGAAGCTGGTAGGGACAGATCATCAATAGCATTGCCAGCCATGTTTGGATTCCCCTGAGGGTAACAGGTATCCACAGAAGACTTCTAGCAAGGGAGTGACAGGACCGGACTTGTTCATTGAACATTGAGAAACCCTACCCCAAATCCAAGACAGAGGAACACAAAGGGCAGCCACATTGAGGCCTAAGAGAACCCTTCTGAGTTAGCCAGCACCAAGCTGGGAAAATTGAGGTAGGCAGCTTTGGTTGGGTGTCTTGCACCCTCTTTTCTTGCTCCCTCTCTGCAGTTGCTCTTTCCCCCTAGGCTGCCCACTAGCTCCCCAGGATCCCCAAGGCAGTATCTTCACCCAGGACTCTGTTCGCTGACCTGCAACAAGTACCACCCTCTCAGCCTACTCCCTCGCAACCCACTCACTCAGGGAGGATGTAACAAGCACTTACCAGGGGTCAGGCGGTGTGCTAGGTCCCGTGGGGAGAAAAACGCAAATACGCAATGGTCTCTACCCTATAAGATCAGGCCCCATAGTATAGTCAGGGTCCTCACTGACCTGTTTTCTGCTAAGGAATGCTAGTAAAAGGGCAAAGCCCAAACATGAGGCTATCTTAGGTATTTACCTGTGTCCTGGTTCTGATTCCATCACTTACCTTCTCTGGGGCTGTTTCCTTATACAGAAAATAAAAGGGTTAGCCTGGCTGACTGTTTCCAGTCGGGCCTTCTTGAACACTTCAGTCCTCAGAGGCAGTACTCAAGAACATTCTTGGTAGTAAGGGCTAACAGGAATCACATATCCAAAGGTGGCAGGGCTTCACACCATCACTCCGTAACCCAAGTTTTTCTGTTGATTTGTTTTTGTGTTAGCTTCTGGCAGGAGTCACTTGGTGCAGTAACACTGCCTGTTTCCTGCTGATCAGAATTTCTAGTTGGCAGCCATATAGATCTGATTAATAAAAAAGGCAAAAAGTTGTTTTTTAAAAATCATGTTCATTAGACGAAAATATTTCAAAATATGAGGGACATGATGATGAAAAGATCGGGAATTATTAAGTTAACAGATAGCTAAAGCTCCCCTCCAATGCTAAAACTCCCACAATTCTAAGCTGATGAAGTACGCTATTACGTTAATTTATTATACTCATCAGGTAACATGAACTTTTTTTTTTTTTTTTTGATACAGAGTCTCGCTCTGTTACCCAGGCTGGAGTGCAGTGGTGTGATCTCAGCTCACTGCAACTTCTGCCTTCTGGGTTCAAGCAATGTTTGTGCCTTAGCCTCCCAGGTAGGTGCAATTACAGGCATGTGCCACCACACCCGACTAATTTTTGTATTTTTAGTAGAGATGGGATTTTGTCATGTTGGCCAGGCTGGTCTCCAACCCCTGACCTCAGGTGATCCACCTACCTCGGCCTCCCAAAGTGTTAGGATTACAGGCATGAGCCACCACCCCTGCCCACATGAACATTTTAAAGGGAGATGTTTGTAATCTAATGATAAGACTAATTGTGAAAATTCATGAATAAATTTGGAGAGATCAGAATTTTAAGATCACTTATTGAATGACACTGATGACCTCCTTAAAGGGTTGACCCAGTGGCCCTCCCTCCCTAGGCCTGGGACCACTTCAACCTCAGAAACACCTGTCACCATTTTGGAAACTTAATTGGCAATACACTTTGACGGTGCCTTCAATGAAATGGAAGCAGGCAGCGCCCCCATCACAGACCTTGCCCTTAGAAGGTTTTAGGGAACCCAACATTTTGAGGAGAGTCTTCTTAGATGTTTTCCTCAGAGACTACAGTTCCTCGCCCTTCCTTTCCACTGGTTTTAAATCTAACACCATAGGCAGGTTGAACCAAGGGGAGCACACCCAGACAAGCCCCTTTCCTCTGCCTCCCTCAGGGTCTCTACTTAGCTCTATCATTGTTGTTAGCCCTGACCTACACTTCAGGATTGGCTTGGCAGAGGCTTTCTGGGGAGCAGGGATAGTGCAAGAGGCCAAAACAAAAACAAAAGCCCACACTCAACATACAACATTTCTGTGACCAGAAGCAGGGGTGAGGGGCCTGGGGGGTAAGTTCCTCACACACCAAGGGATTCTCCAGGGGACATTGGCTGAGCATTCTATAATTGAATTCGATTCTGATTCTGACACTAGCTACCTGGAGGTGTAGCAGGACGAGCCACAGACAAAACTCCTCAGACACTGGATTAAAGAAGGAAGAGGTTTTTTATTCAGCCGGGAGCGTCCGCAGACTCGCGTCTTAAGAGCCGAGCTCCCCGAAAAAGAAATACTTGGCCTTTTTAAAGGCTTACAACTTTAAGGGGTCCACGTGAAAGGGTTGTGATTATTTCGAGCAAGCGTGGGAAATGTGACTGGGGCCTACATGCATCAGATAACAAAACAAAAAGTTTTACAATGCTTTTTTTTTCCTCATACAGTGTCTGGGATTTACAGATAAGTAGTTTAGGTTAGGGATTGATGTTATTATTATTACTTTTTTTTAACTCCTAGGGCCGGGTGGTGGTGCCAAGGTTGTCTGGCTATTTATCTTACTTTGGTTTCTTTCTCTCTTTCCTCCTGTCTTGGGAACTAGGCAAGGTGGGAGGAGGAGGGCAGCAGGAGTAGTAGTGGTCTCCTTCCTTAACCCCCACTTTGAGAATTTTCACTAATTAGTGGGAGTTCTGACTTTTAGTTTTACTTTCTGAGTCTCTTTGGGAGACAGAGCGATAGTGTTTTATGTAATACACTTGTGCTGAAGTTTTCTGATGAACCATGGTAGCTACAAAACCTTTTATCATTTGAAGGAGCAAGCGTAGTACACAGGGGAGCAGCAAGCAACTTTCTATTACCAGTAATACACTTATAATGAGGGTTTTAAATTTTTATAGCTGGAAACTATTTTCTAAATGAAGACCTAGGATCACACCTGTGTTAAACTTGTACAGGCACCTGTATCAACTTTGTCATATCCTAAGCAGGTTAGTTTTGTCACTGGGTCTTAAAAGCTTTTTCTTAGCGAGTAACACAGTATTTTTTAATAACAAGTTTTTAAGAGCCAGATGCTTGAACTTGGGGCATCTGTTTGGGGAAAGAGTTAGTTAAAGTAAAATTATCTTGAGGCGTTAACTCTCTTGCTTCTCAAGGCCATTGGCCTCTTATGTTAGCCTTTTTATAAACATAACACGAAGAAACATCCAGGCTGTCAGCAATGTTTTCAGCCAACTGAGCAAATAGGCTTTTTCTATTTTTGCTAAAGGAAGAGGTTCTGGTAACTTCTGGTTTATGTGTTTAAAGAATGACTGTAAGACTCGGAATTGTTGTTGGGCTGGACGGGTCTGGGTTTCCTAAATAGTATGTGTACAGTGGGGACACCTTATATGGGTGTTTCTTCTAGCATGGTTATGGGGGGTAACAACAACAAAACAATGTACAGCAAGGACAAAAGAGGTCCTTACCTGGGAAAAAGGTTGAATACAGCAACAGAACAATAGGAAAACAGTATTACAGGAAAACTATTAGTCTTAAGATTTTTAACTACATTTACTTGCTTGATGAGTCCTCAAGCTTCAGCCGTGCATAGACTAGTCAGCTGTTGGTGTGTGACTAGAACAGGGCTTGTTGTCTCCTCAAGCTTCAGCCGCGTGTAGACTGGTCAGCCTCCGGAGTGACCAGAGCAGGGCTGTCTTCCTCAGCAGCAGCTTGGTCTCATCTCAGGATCAGCCGGGTTGGATGATCTGCGTCCTGCTGGCTGGTCCACTTGTCCTGAGCTGCCGGTGTTAGCTGACTGTGATGGATCCAAGACACAACACCTGCAACTTTAACAGCAGTGGGAGTGGACAAGGTTACAGTATAGGGCCCATCCTACATGGGTCCTAGAAAAATTAGAGTTTACTTTAAACAGAGTCACTAGATTTAAGGGGGTGTCAGGCTTATAGGCATTTTCATTTATTTAATTATGAACACTTTGTATGGCTATTTTTAAAGCCTGCATTTGCTTTCTTAAGGTTAATTTCTTTAGTTTCTGGAGGTCACCTTTAATTTGACCTATGATTTGGGGGTGGCCGACTGAACAAAATCTTATAGGGCAAATACATAATTTGTTTGGTGGGGGTGCACCTGACTCAGAGTAGGACCATAGGCAAAAACCTGATTTTATCTTAAATGAGCAAACAAGCACTGGCATGTACCGATAGTCTCCAGCATGGGGCAGTTCTATAAAGTCTATAAGCAAGTTTTCACGAGGTATGGCTCTTTTTACTGTTTAAGTTTCTTAGAGGAGGGGTTCTTCTCCGCCCCCGCCGCGTAGGCAAAAACCTGATTTTATCTTAAGTGAATTTCTGGCGCATAAGCACACACACACACACACACACACACACACACACACACACACATATAGCGACCCTTTTTTTTTTTTTTTTTTTTTTTTTTTTTTTTTTTTTTTTTTTTGGGCGTCAGCAGCTTATTGTTTGATGTTCTGGGTTCATGCGTTCTAATTTTTGTTGAACTTTGTGGCCGATAGGCTGCAACCTGTGCTGTATTGTTAACAGTCTTGTTAAATGTTGCACTATTCCAGCTACAGCTACAAATGCTGGCCTATTGTCTGACTTTAAAATTGAGGCCTTAAAAACTGGGATAATGTCTTAACAGTAGTTTAGTCACTTGTACTTTTTTCTGTCCTGGGTGGGGAAAACTGTAACTTACCCTGAAAGGTGCAACAAGCACCTCAGCCTCCAGCAGGGGCAGTTCTGTAAAAGTCTATAAGCAAGTTTCTTCGCTGCTGTATGGCTTTTTTTCCTGTTTTTAAGTTTCTGAGAGGAGAGTTCCCTCTGTCCCCCCATCCCCACCGCCACTCCGCTTTGTCAGAGAGTTTAGTGGTTGAGTTTTTCTGTGGAGAAATTTGAATTCAGATACGAGTTTTTGCTGCCTGCAACTTCTCTAATGTGACCATGGCCCTGGGAGCCCAATGAGAAGGTGCCTAGTCTGCCCTAGTCTTTACATTCTTCAGCCCTATCAGCCTTGATCAGATGAGGAGTGTCTGTCCCTCCAAGGTGCAGCAGCCCTGGCCGATGGCCTCGTCTCGCGGCCTTGGCCATTTCCCTGTATTGCCCTCTCTGAACAGTTACCCTTCTAGTCCTTCTCCCCCATCTCCTGCACATTAATTCCCCTAGCCTTGTCCGGCCCTGGAATCCTGGCCAACTTGACTTCTGTCATGTCTACGTCCACGTCCTCGTCCTCTCACAATGTCTCTTCCCCCCGCCCCCTCACTGCCTCCCGCCTCCTACGGCCAGCCGGTGAGGGCCCGGGAGAAACGGCACGGGCCCTGCCCCTGCCCAGGCACTGCTGTCTGTCTCTCCTGTTCTCTTGATTCTCTGTCTTTACACTTGCTTTCAGTCTTCTTTGCCTTGCTCTAGAGGAGGGGTTCTTCTCCGCCCCCGCCGCCCCCCCCCCCCCCCCCCCGCCCCTCCCGGCCCTTTGTAACTCTATCTAGTGGCTTAGCCTTCAGTGAGAAATTGGAATTCAGATACGGCAGAATCTTGCTGCTTTTAACTTCTAATGTGACCATGGGCTCCTGGGAGCCTAATGAGAAGGTGTGTAGTCTATCCTAGTCTTTACATTCTTCAGCTCCTGTCAGATCAGTATTTAGTTCCTCCAAGGTGTGGCAGCCCTTGGCCAATGGCCTTTTTGTCTTGTGGCCTTGGCCATTTCCTTTATTGCCTTTTTGAACATTTACCCTTCTAGTGTTCTTTCTTTTTGCATCTCGCACGATAATCTCTCTCTTGCCTTACCTGGCTCTTGAATCTTTGCCTAACTTGACTTCTTTCATATCTACATCCACGTCCACCGTCCACGTCCTCTCACATTGCTAATTTCTCTTTTTTTACACTTACTCTTAGTCTGTCTTTTTCTCTTTTCCTGTCTTTCCCAGTTTTGTTCCTTGGTTACAGTTAACAAACACCTTGGTGGCCACTTTTCTAGACTAGGTGGTATTCATGCCTGCAGCTTCTGCTTGATGTTACCCTGGGCTTGCTTTACAAATGAAGTATTCACTATATACTGATTTTCAGCAGCCTCAGGGTTAAATGGGGTGTAAAGCCAGAATGCTTTATAGAGTCTCTTATAAAACTGAGGTTTTTGTCAGCTCCTTGAAGCATTTCTGAAATCTTTTTTTATATTACTTGCTTTTTTCTACTAACTCTTAGCCTCTGCAGAAGTGCTTCTCAGTACCTCTGCAAACGCTGAAGCTGAGTTGCATTCTCTGGGTCTTTTTTTCCCTTTTTCCTAGAGTTTACCAGGCTCTTTTCTTTATATAATTTTCCATGCACTTGGAGGGCTAAACAGGCATACCGAGAGTCAGTGTAAACGTTTACAGTCTTACCTTCACTGAGTTCTAAGGCCCGAATTAAAGCAATGAGCTCAGCTTAATGACAGTGTGCAGGGTTACCACTGCATACTCTGCACATCTCTCTCCTTGTGGGTTGAGGAAGCTGTTCCCGTCCATGTATAGCTCCTAGTCTACTGATGCCCAAGGCTGGTCCCGGAGGTCAGATCTGCTAGAGTAAACTTGAATCTAACACCTCTACACAGGCATGCTTGACAGGACTCTAGCTGCCGACAGCAAGGTGGTGGATTCAGGGTGTTTCCAGTTTAGTAGATCAGTGGTTGAAAAGGGCTGATAGATGAAAGTCTGTTGCCCCCACCCAGATGTGGGCCTGGTCATTGTAATAGACAGGTCCTCATCTCCCTGAGAGGCATTTGCATAGCTCAAGCAAGACCAGATCTGAGAAGGCCCACTTGACTATCTTGACTTCCTTCTTTGGCCTCTCCAGGTTCCGATTCTCCCCTTCGAGGTGAGACCTGGGGTGTGTTAGCTCCTGAATCTCGTTTCTGAGGGGGCTGTTGGCCTCGGTAAAGCGGAGTAGGCTGGAACATATGGAGAAAGAATTTCTATGATCTCTGGCGGCTCCTGCAAAACTGGTTTCTCTTGCTGTTTCTGGGACTCCTTTTTAACTCTGTGTCTGCTGGCGAAGCTGCTCTTACTTTTACTTTTGGTTTTTTTGCAATAAGCTGTTAAATAGGGCTAAATTTTTGCTGGTTTTGTCTATATTATATTTAACCATGAATCAATATAAAGGAATTTGTTCTAGGTACACTGGCTGTCCTCCGAGCCCTGTCACCACCTTAAATACATGGCCAGTTGTTCCTTGTCTATAGTTCCTTCAACGGACCATCCAATACCAAAAGAGGGCAGTTCTAATTCACACAGAGATCTTAACCTCTAAGGGGTTAACTTAACTCCATAATCTCCTGCAAAACCTTTCTTAAGGTTCTGTAACATGCATTTTAATAGAGTAAGTTTTGATGATTGGATGACTTTCCTTTTATTTTTTTGAAATTTTTCTTTTTGAAATGTTTTAACACAGTTCCTAGCGGAGTGGGCTTACTTTGTGTCTGACCTATTTTTCTCTCGACACAAAACACATTCACAATACAGGAAGGAAAGGTTAAAAGGTCACTCACTCGTCTAATTTACACTAAATCAAAATCAAAACTAAAACCAGTGTTGTTAAAGGCACACCTGTTCGTCAAGCAATTTAAGCCAAGTCAAAATCAGAACCAAAACCGAAGTGCCAATAAACGCACGCCTGTTTATCAAGCAATTCAAGTCAAGTCAAAATCAAAACAAAAACCAAAGTATCAAGCAATTAATTCAAGTCAAGTCAAAAACAAAAAACAAAGCACCAGTACAGGCATGCCGTGGGTGATCAGGCCACGTTCCACTCAAATGGAGTGGGCAAGTTCCAAAGACCAGTCTTACCAAGTTTCAGCTGTCCGGACTTAAAGTGCCAGTTCCTTCCCGGTGTTCAGCCACTGTGTTGATCCTCCACGGGGTCCTGCTGTGCACTGCTCTGACGAGGCGTTCCACCAGGGCAAATGCCTACCCGGGAGCGCTCTCAGGATCCGCCTCGCTCAATCCAGCCAGAGTCCCCCGCAGGGCTGCTCTACAGGGCAGGCATAAGCTGCCTAAGGGGCTGCCTCGACCATCTGTTAATCACCTCGCTTCCCGATCAGGGAACCAAGAAATGCAGCAGGACTAGCCGCAAACAAAGCTTCTCAGACACCGGATTTAAGAAGGAAGAGGTTTTTTATTCAGCCGGGAGCATCCGCAGACTCGCGTCTTAAGAGCGGAGCTCCCGGAAAAAGAAATACTTGGCCTTTTTAAAGGCTTACAACTTTAAGGGGTCCACGTGAAAGGGTCGTGATAAATCAAGCGAGCGTGGGAAACGTGACTGGGGCCTACATGCATCAACTAACAGAACAAAAAGTTTTACAATGCTTTTTTCATACGGTGTCTGGTGTCACAGAATTCACAGATAACAAGTAGTTCAAGTCGAAATTGATATTATTATTATTACTTCTTCTTTTCCTTTCGTTTTCTTTTTTGTTTTTAAATCTCCTAGGGCCGTGTGGTGGCACCAAGGGTGTCTGGCCATTTATCTTACTTTAGTTCCTTTCTAACTTTCTGCTTTCTGTCTTTCCTCTTGTCTTGTGAACTAGGCGAGGTGCGGGGAGGAGGGCAGCAGGAGTAGTAGTGGTCTGTGCTGTGTGTATTTTTGGGACAGAGTCTCGCTCCGTCACCCAGGCTGGATTACCATGGCGATCTCAGCTCACTGCAACCTCAGCCTCCCGGTTCAGGCAAATCGCCTCCTCGGTGTCCCGAGTAGTCGAATTACAAGCCCGTGCCGCCAGAGGCCTGGCTGTCGTTAACACTTTTCATAGAGACCGGGTTTCGCTGCGTTGGCCAGCCTGGCCTGGAACTCCTGGCCTCAAGTGATCCGCCCGCTGCGGCCTCCCGATGTGCTGGAATTACAGGCATGAGCCACCGTACCCCAGCCCACACCCAGATAATCTTGTTAATAAATGGTAGAAGGGTTCCTCAGCCGGGTGGAGGAGATTGCAGTGTAGTTTATTCCAGCCTGCATGCTAACAGAGTCAATTAGCGTGGTTTGTGAAGTAAGACAAGCTGGAAAGTGTGTGGGGGTGTGTGTGTGTGCGCGTCGTGCGTGCGTGCGCGGCGCGTGTGAAGAAGAGAGAGAGAGAGAGAGAGAGAGAGGGAGGGGGAGAGAGAGAGAGAGAGAGAGAGAGGGAGGGAGGGAGGGGGAGAGAGAGAGAGAGAGAGAGAGAGAGAGAAGCAAATATAGAATGAGCTAGGCGCAACGGCTCACGCCTGTAATAGCAGCAGTGTGGGTGGGCGAGGCAGGCAGGTTGCTTGAGAACAGGAGTTGGAGACCGGCCGGGCAACGTGATAGAACCTCGAACCCCATGTCCGTAGGGTGCGTACATACATACATACATACATACATACATACATACGTCACGGAAAGCATGAAACAATATAAAAGTTAACCGGTGTGGTAGTGCGTGCCTGTAGTCCCACGTAAGCAAGTAAGAAATTATACCAAGAGTAAACGTTTAACGTAAAACTAAGTGAAAAAGAAGTGAGGGCTGGGCACGGTGGCTCACGCCTGTAATCCCAACACTTTGTGAGGCCGGGGCCGGGTGGATCATGAGGTCAGGAGTGCCGGCCAGGCTGGAGCAGGTGAGTGAAACCCTGCCTGTAGTCAAAATCAAGAAAATTAGTCAGAGCGTGGTGAGCAGACGCCTGTAATCCCGGCTACTTGGGAGACCGAGGCAGGGTGCTTGAGCCAGGGAGGTGGGCAGGTTCGCAGTAGGTCGAGATCGCGCCACTGCACTTCAGCCTGGGAGACAGAGCAAGACTCCATCTCACCAAAAAAAAAAAAAAAAAAAAAAAAAAGAAAAAGAAAAAAAAAAAAAGAGACACAAAGCAAAATCAAAAAACAAAACAAAAAAACAAGCAAGCAAGCAAGCAAGCAAGCAAGCAAAGCAAGCAAGCTAGCAAGCAAGCAAAAGGATGAACATGACAATGACATAGAAGTAACTAACTTATGAGAAACAAGTAAATAAGAGGGCATGAGTAACGCTACAAGGCAATTAAGATCACAATGCATTTTCTCTCTTTCCCAGCTCCCGTCACCTCAGCAAGCTGCTGCCAGGTGGAGGTGCGCGATCACAGCTCGCGTTCGCCTCCAGCTCCGGGGTTAAGAGATCCCTGTTGTGTGCTTGGAGGCTGAGATCACCAGAGCCCAGGGAGGTGGAGGCTGCCGTGTGAACCAAGTCGCGCCTGCCAGTCAGGGTGCGACTGGTGAAGACCAGGCAGGGTAAGAAGAAAATAAACGAACACAAAAAAGGAAGGAAGGAAGGAAGGGAAGGGAAAGAAGGAAGAGAAGGAAGGAAGGAAAGGGAAGGTGAGAGGAGGAGGGAGGGAGGGAGGAGGGAGGGAGAGAGGGAGGCAAGGGAGGGAGGGAGGGGAAGGAAGGAGGGAAGGCAGGGAGGCAGGAGGAAGGAAGGAAGGGAGGGAGGGCAGGAGAGGAAGGAAGGGAGGGAGGAAGGGGAAGAAGGAGGAGGAGGGAGGGAGGGAGGGAGGAGGCAGGAGGGAAGGGAGGAGGGAGGAGCAGGCGGAGGAGCTGGTAGGAAGAAAGGAAGGCAGGAAGGAAGGAAAGGAAAGAGAGGCAGGAAGAGGCAGGAGGCAGGCAGGAAGGAAAACAGGAAGTCAGGCGGGCAGAGGCAGGGCGGCGGCAGAAAAGAGGCGGAAGAAGCAGGAGGCAGGCAGGAAGGAAAACAGGAAGTCAGGGAAGCGGAAGGCAAGGCAGGCCAGGCCAAGGCCGGAGCCAGGCAGTCCCAGGCCGAACAAGTAAACAGGTGGGGAGGGAGGGAGGGAGGGGGAGGGAGAGGGAGGGGAGGGAGGGAGGGAGTGGGGGAGAGGGAGGGTGGGAGTGGGAGGGAGGGAGTGGGGAGGGGGAGGGTGGGCGGGGAGGAGGGAAGGCAGGCTCATACACATGGCAATAGTAAATGTTATTTATGTTGACTATTCAGAGGTTAAATGTTTATAATCATAAGCATGCATTGTATAATGATGGAAGATTTTATCAGTCTGTATGTATATGTATATATGTCCAACTATGTGTATACATATACACACAGGTAGAGAATACATACACTCAGAGAAGAATGCGTATCTGTGTGTATATAAATATGTATGTGTGTATATGTACATGTACATACAGCAGCGTGCAAGAAAGATTTAATCGCGAAGGGGTGGCCGGGCTGGTGGCTCGCGCCTAGCCTCCTAGCACGGTTTGGGAGGCCGAGGCGGGGCGGATCTTGAGGTCAGGAGTTCAGAGACCCAGGCCTGGCCAATATGGTGCAACTCCGTGCTCAAGCGCAACAGACAACCCCGGAGGCGGAGGCAGCAGGCGAGTCGAGTAAGGCACCCCTGCCCCCGTCCAGCCTGGGCGAGACCAGAGACTCCCTCTGCAGAAAAAGAAAAAGAAAGAGAGAAAAGAAGAAAGAAAGAAAGAAGAAAGAAGAAGAAAGAAGAGAAGCTGAGAGAGAGAAAGAGAGACAGAGAGAGAAAAAGGAGAGGGAAAGAGAGAAGAAAAGAGAAGAAAGAGAGAAAGAAAAAGAAAGAAAGAAAGAAAGAAAGAAAAGAAAGAAGAAAGAAAGAAAGAAAGAAGAAGAAAGAAAGAAGAAGAAAGAAGAAAGAAAGAAAAAGAAAAAAGGAAGTATTACACGAGAGAGCAAGGTGACTTACCTCTCAAAGAAAGTCAGAAGAAAGCAAGAGCCTGAAGGTGGGGCTGAAAAAAATCCAGGAGTTTCGCGTGGTCGGCGGCACCGGCCGAGGCGGGTGGGAGGCCGCCCGCGCCGTGAAGCGGGGAGCCGCGGCCTGTTTCTCTGCGCCCACCTCCTCAAGTGGGACGGCTACCGGCAGCCTGCTGGTCGACCTGAGTAAACGGTGAGCCAGCCAGCGACTAAGATCCGGAGCTCGCGAGGCGGCAGCTGGTCGAGCCTCGGAGGCGAGGCACACCGAGAGCTCCGCTCAGATCCGAGCCCGTCCGTCCCGACACACCGCTCCGGCGAGAGGCCTGGTGAGTGCGACCTCGGGCGAGGCCGAGCATGCGCCTAAGTGTCCGCGCCCTCGGGAAGGCTGAGTGGCCATTCCGAAGGGAGAAGCGGCTTATGGCGGAAGGAGCGGCGGGTCGAGGCGCCCGGAGCCTCCCTTACCACGGCTCCCCATCCGCCCCGCAGTCTGCTGTGGCAGGCTCGACCTGCGCGGAGGGAGAAGGAGGAAAGGCGCGCGAGGCGGAGACGGGTAGCCGCCCTCGAGCCACGCCGCAGCCACCTGGGCGAGGCAGCGGGCAGCGAGACCCGCTCAGCGCGCTCCGCCTCGGCTCCCAGCGAGCTCCCGGACCGTCCCAGCCGAGGCAGGCCTGACGGTGGAGCGGGGCGGGGAACCCGAAGGCGTGGTGCAGTGTTGCAGGCCGTGCGCCCCCAACTCCTCCCCGCCCGTGGTGGCCGGAAGCCAAGGAGAGGAAAGACCAGGCGAGGCAACGCAGATCTTCCACTGAGACCACATGTGTGGGATATTGCCAATGTCGAGGCTGACTTTCCAATGGAGATACGCAGCGAGAGGCTGCTCTGCTCACGTCTGAAACCCGACCCAGAAGCAGGTCGTCTGATGCGTTTAGCGCCAGGTTCCCCAAACGTCGCGTGTGTGGCGGCGCGCCTTTTCGGCCGCACCGTTTCCAGGGCAGAAGAGCCTCCGCACGGACCCAGTCGGCCTTGTGTGAGGCGACCACCTCCCGTGGCTTGAAGCTGACCCGCGGCGAGGACAGAGCGGGGACCCGGCTATCCGAGGCCAACCGAGGCTCCGCGGCGCTACCCCGTGCTCGTTCCCGCCTGGGCGGGATTCTGACTTAGAGGCGTTCAGTCATAATCCCACAGATGGTAGCTTCGCCCGTGGCTCCTCAGCCCAAGCACGGCCACCAAATGTCTGTTCCTCTGGTTCTCTATTTCGAAACTTG